ACAGTAGAATACAATGGCTGACTTCCTGTCATCTAGAAAACTGAAACAGCTTCCAAATTTAATTCATTTAAAAATCCATGATTTCAAATGCATTAATTTAAATGACTTCTCATTCAACACTTGCACTTTTCACCACTGTGTTTGTCTCAAAACAGCGCTCTGTCTGCCAGCTTTCCAAACACAGTTCAAGTGGACCAGAGCTGCAGAAAAACCATGGGAATAAACCGGCTTTATGTAGTTGATGCAAAAAGGAAATGTAAATATACTTTTAGCAGGCAAAAAGCTAGACTATATTTTTGAGGGTTGCTAATGAGTGAAAGAAGCAAGCTGCTTTTATCATGCAGTGGTGCAAATTAGATATTTATGGGTTTCCTGTGGTGTTCAAGGTGTTGCTCCTTTCCAGTATTTTAGAAAGGAAAACTTTGCATTCTAAGAATAGCTTCATTGATCATTGTCCCTTGGGCACAAAGATATTCTAATCCGGGCTAGTAAATTTTATCTGAAAAGCCTGAAACTCCCAGTGAGTGTGAAGTGTATCCCTAGGCCTTTGAGTTGTTTTCTTGTTGTTGTCTTAGTGTTTTTTAAACAGCTTTATTGAGATATAATTCACAAACCATATGATTCATTCATTTCAGATGTACATAATTCAATGGTTTTTAGTATATTCATAGATAAGTGCAGCCATCTCCATAATGAGTTTTAATATTTTCATCACCTCAAAAAGAAATCCTGTACTCTTTAGCTATCCCTCCTGTATCTTCCCATTCTCCCATCCTCTAGGCATCTACTAATCTACTTATAGTTTCTACAGACTTCCCTGTTGTGGAAATTTAATATGAATGCATTATACACTATGTGGTCTTTCATGATTGTCTTCTTTCACTTAGCATAATTTCAAGGCTCATCCATGTAGTAGCATGTCAATGCTTCATTCTTTCTTATGGTGAAATTAAAATTCATTGTATGAATATACCACATTTTGTTTATTCATCTGTCAGTTGGACAAACTGGACATTTGAGTTGTTTTTACCTTTTGGCTATTAAAAATAATGCCACTATAGACATTTGAGTGCAAGTTTTTATGTGGACATATGCTTTCATTTCTTTTGGCTATATACCTAAGAATAAAATTGTTAGGCTATATGATAACTCTGTGTTTCATCATTTGAAAAACTGCCAGACTGTTTTCCAAAATGGCTATACTACTTTATGTTCCTATTTATATTCCCAGAAGCTTATGAGGATCCTGATTTCTCTACATTCTTGCCAACACTTGTTATTATCTGACTTTTTTATTCTAGCCATCCTAGTAGATATGAAGGGCTATTTCATGATTCTGATTTACATTTCTCTGGTAATTAATGATGCCAACCATCTTTTCACTTGCTTATTGGCCATTTGTATATTTTCCTTGGAGAAATACCTATTTTGAGGGGCACCTGGGTGGCTCAGTCACTTAAGCATCTGCCTTCAGTTTAGGTCATGATCCCAGGGTCCTTGGATTGAGCCCTGCATCAAGCTCCCTCCTCAGCAGCGAGTCTGCTTCTCCCTCTTCCTCTCCTTCTGTGATCTCTCTCACTCTCTCTCTAATAAATAAAATCTTAAAAAAAAACATAATTAAGAAATGCCTAATTTTTAATTGAGTTATTTGTCTTTTTATTATTGAGTTGTACAAGTTCTTTATATATTCTGGATATAAGTCCCTTATGGGATATATGATTTGCCAATATTTTTTCCCATTAGATTATCTTTTCACTTTCTTCATGGTGCCCTTTGGAGCACAAACATTTTTAATGTTGATGAAGTTTTAAAGAAATTTTGTTACATGGTGTTTCCAACACCCCAGAAGCATGAATCAGCTTCTGATATTGCCTAACTCCCTCACCCTACTCTTTGACATGACCACCTTGAACTCCTCCCATTCATCCCCACACCCCATCTCCCATCCAGGTTCAAGCCACACTGTGCTTCCTTCCATCTCAAAGACTCATCAAGCTTTTTCTTACATTTGAATCTTGATATACAGATATCAGTTCAAATATTACTTCCTCAAAGAGGTCCCCCCAACACTCAATTGAATCACATCTAATTGTTACCCCATTCCCTGTTTGATTTTCCTCATAATACATCTTGGTTGTTGACATACTGTGTAAATATTAAATTATCTCACCAGAATAAATGCTTTATTGGTGTATCCATTAGTTATCCATTTTGTTCACTGCTTGTCCTAAGTTCCTAGAGTAGTATTTGCCATATAGTAGGTGCTCAATAAATATCTGTTAAATGAATGAATGAATTCTGCAGCCCAGACATTATGCTAGGAACTAGGGGCAAAAGAGTAAATAAGACAGACCCCTGAACAGGGGTAGTATCCCATTAGAAATATGCCTTGTGGTCAGTGTTCTTGAAGGGGGTATATGTTTGTTTGCAAGAGATTCACTTGGCAGGATAAGTTCACTTTTTTATTAAATTTTTAAGTTTAATTTCAGTATAGTTAACGTACAGTATTATATTAGATCCAGCTATACAATATATTGATTCAACAATTCTATACATGACTCAGGGTTCATCATGATCAGTAGTTATTTTTAACTATTTTTAAATAAAAAATATTTATTTTTTAAATAATAAATTATTATTTAGTATAGTAATAAATAATATTGCCTTAAAGACATGCAATACTCAAGACTCTTTAATAAATTTTATTCTGTTCACACATATACTTTTTACTGCATTGAACTCCTGCTAACTCCCTTTACAATAATTTTTTCTTTAATTTTCACTACTAGTAAAGAGAAGTGAATGGACCTGATGATAGTCTCCTCCTTCTGTCTTACTGACTGATAAATCATAATCATAATCATAATCACAACAATACTTAGAAAAAGTTTGCTGCCTATCCTCAGGAGGGAGGAAACAGCTATTCCCCTCTAGTTGAAAGACCCACCCTGGAGGGGTCTAGTTGAATGATCTACTTGAAAGACGCACCCTGGTGAGTGGGAGGCTGCATTTCAGTCCCAGCTTACCTAGAATTAGGTGTGTAACCATAAGTGCTGGGTACTTTTTTAGGCTCCAATATCTTCCCCAGTGATTTTCAGTTGATGAGATCTTTGCTACTTAATTCATGGAATTTGTGTGAAGATCAAATAGGGTAGATGTCAAAATACTTCTAGCTCCTCCGGGGCAGGGAATGTACCATAATCAGCTCGGTATCTCCAGGGACACTCAGATTTAATCAGGTGCAAAATAACGCTTCCTAAAAGAATCCATATACTCTTAATGCACCTCCACACCCTTGCCTAACTGATTTCTTCTGCCTGGAATGATATGTGCCTTCCCTTTTCCCCCCAACTCCCTTCCACATCTCAATGTTTGTGTAAACATCCTTTCATTCAAAAGAATGCTGGTTTTGAATACTCTGAGCTTTGGAATCTTCAATGTATCAGTCATATAGGGATTAACAGCCTCAAGATTAAATAGGAACGACTGAATTACACTCTATAACAGGAAACACATATACAGATGCTATAACAAACTAGAAAGGATATTCACTGTGTTTCTAAGTTTCCAAGTCCTAAGTAACCAGTGATAATTCTCAATCAGCCTGGCCAAGAAATGTCTACTATGGGCTGGTCTAGAGCATTCTTTTTGCAGTCTCTGTGATACTTCTGTCTGTCTATACTGCTCACCTTTTTTGCCATCAGCATTGATCTATTCAATCCTTGCTTCAGAGTGTGTTTCAGAAGCTATTAGTTCTTGCTTACACATGTTTTAAAACCATGTACAGTTGTGCAGATTGTGCACTACAGAGAAGCACCCAGCTTGGTGGGAGTGGGGGAGTGGTAAGAGTAAGGACTGGAATCCAGCCTATCCTGTGCTGGCCATACTGGGAGGAAGAGGGTCTTTTGTAATCTATCCACCTAGAGGCAGTGCAACTTGGCAATTTATAGTATATAAACTTGTAGAAACTCTCTTTCAAAATACCAAGTGAAGAACTCCTCTTTATCAATTAATTTCTACAGAAGACTACATCCCTCCAAAACTTGGGGTACAGGGGCCAGCTCTAGGATGCTGGCTTTGCATCTCCCTAATCTCGATGTTTCTGGTCGAGGGCCCATGGTTTCTCTCTCCTCGATCAGCATTCACCATCCTGAAAGAGGAGGCGGTTTTTAAACCTTTTTTTGAAAAAAAAAAAAAACAAAAAACCAAAACAAAACAAAACAAAAAAAAAAAAACATTCATTTCTTGATAGGGGGTCTGAAGGGAGAACTAGTATCTCTCTGGGATAACACTTCCTCTGTTTGAGAAGTCACTCATCCCAGTGGTAGCGATGGGGGTCGATGACAGTTAAATTATGTAATGTTCAATATCCTGGGGGCTACACATGCATTACAGCTGAAATGCAGCATCTAATGAGGAGGGCCACTCGATCTGTGACTTCTACCCCTATTTTCTTTACAAGACATTTCACAATATTGGAGTGAGGAGTAAAATAACTGTATAACGTGTGACTGAATACCAAAGAGGAACGAAACCACTCGCAATATTTTCTCAACATTTCTCTAAGGCCTTAATGAAATGTTAAGTTTCAAGGCCTCCACACAATTGAAATACATAGGATGCTCTATAAGGAAATTTTCACAGAAGCCAAAAACTCCATCATCATTAAAATTAAATATGTTGTCATTAAAAGAAGTGGGCTTCTTTTAAATGCACTGAAATGTAAAAATATTGCTTCAAACTTAAGTCCAACGCACCACAAAAGGAGGAGGAGATGGCTGTTGAAAGAATTAATAATGAGAAATGACAGAACTGTTTTATATCTATCGCTCTTTGTGTCTCCCCCTTCTCCTTAAAAGCAAAGATACTATAACAAAAAAATTTAATAAGTAAAAAATACATTTTAAATGAAAAACCATGATTAACTTATTAAGAACCATTAAGTATATAATTACAAGGATTCTATTACATTAAGATACCAATTTCTTTAAAGCCAGAAATAATACCTACTGAAACTTTAATTATTTAAATGAGAAGAGAAAGAGGCATGTTATCTTCTCTGACAAAGATTAAAATCAATTTAATTGCTTCTCTGCTGCCTTGACATGATTCTCGCTGTGAGTCAAGCAACCAAAAAGGGAAATTAATACTGCAGCTGTTAATCAAGTGATATCCGTGCACTCAGTTTGATTACATCAGGGAGAGAAGTGTCGCTCCCCGGCTGCCTCGGGAGCCCACACCACTGTGGCTGGTGGTGGCAGCTGGGTGGGCTCTGACACGCGTGGAGGTTGGACTTCGTTTCTGGAGCCTGTGAGAGCCCCGGCTGAGGCCCGGCCTCAGGAAGCTGCAGGTTGCTGTGTTCGAGGCGGTTCCACCAAGACAGAGGTCTGTTCCAAATTAAATTCACCCCTTGGCTCCTGCTTCTACTGTCCACAGTGTGAAGTACAAAGAAACGCAAGGGCATCGCAGGGCTGGAGAAGGAGAAAGAATAGGAGAACCTGGCTAAGATGATTTTTTTTTTTTTTTTTTTTTTTTTTTTTGCCTGTAGAGCATAACAATATATTTTTCAAGGTAGACAGCCACGGTTTCTAGAGGTCAAACACCAACTCTCTCACCCGAATTAGAACATGCATTTGAAAGCCAGGTACAGTGGCAAGCAGTGTGCACCTTGAGGCCCCAGATGTGCTGGTTTAAAAGCAAAGCTTTTGTCAGGCACCAGCCACTGAGTGAACATGCAGCAGCATCCACACTCGGCAAACTAATGTATCTGATTGTAAGAAAATGGTATTGTGAAATATTTATGAGGCTGGAAATACAAACCAGTACCCTGCCTCATCGTGTCTTATCAGCCCTTGTTAACTTTACAGATGATGAGAGGCACCGGGATAACTGAGGTTGTCAAAACGAATGGATCTCAGGCACTTTGCACCCATGGAGCTCAGTTGCATCAAAAGTCCTTTTGTTCAGGAACTTTTAACCCTCCTCTATCCTGTTTGCCTTCTCTTGTCACAGACGGAGGTGGATAATAACAAGTCTCAAGTAAATACATTCCGGAGAAGAAGCTTCTTCTGAGGACCTTCCCTTTTTCCGGGATAGAAGAAAACCTCCAGTTAGGGAGCGAGAAATTCAGTTCACAGGAAAAAGTTTTGTATTTGGGCTTTTTTAACATCCCTGCCAGTGACATGAAAGGATCATGAGCAAAATGCCCAGTTGGAGGAGAAGCCTGCATTTAGCAGGATACGCAGAAACACAAACAACAACAACAACAATAACAATAACCACACAAAACAAACAACACATACTGCTCCCCCCCCCCAAAGATTACTCCACCCTTTTTACATTTCAGAAAACTCAGCACTAGCTCAGGTCAGCCCAGGGGATGAGTTAAGATGCCCATCAGCTCTTATTTTATCTGAGCCCAGTTCACCTGTCCCCGGGATCTGTAGATGACTCTGCCTGGCTCTTTTTCATCAAATACAACTCATCCTACTATATTGGATCACCTTGCTGTTAGCCTGGCACTGTCCCTCCCCATTTCAATTTGACCAAATTGAAACAGATGCCCAGAGGCCACGGAGATCAAGACTGGTATAACAAAATTTGGAGCCAGTCTCCAAGCTTAAATCAATATTTAACGGTAAGCCTGCTTTTATTTATTTATTTTTTGGCAGGCTTTTACTGGCAAATATCACTTTAAACTGAAAGCCAGGAGCCTTAATTATAAAGGATGCCGTTCAGGCTATATTTTGAAAAACAATAACTCATTGGACAAGCCAACCTGGTGGTTTAAGGGATTGCACTCCCCCAGCACCAGGCAAGGAGAGGAGTGTTATTGCTTTCCGGATCCTTCAAGGATGTATTTAATTACCTCCTCTCCAAGCACGCAGAGGCCATTCAAATAGGGGAGAGGGGGGCAGGGGGGAGGGAGAGCCATTCCCCCTCTCAGTCCAACCCAGCAGAAGCCCCAGGCCCACCGGCGGCATCAGAGACAGGACACTTCGAGCAGGTGCAGGAGCGGGATCCTTGGATAGGAGCATGGTGAAAACCACTCGCCAAGGTGGGCACAGATCCCCCGCAGGACTTACACCCCTGGACCTGCAGCGAGAACCACAGACCCGCGTGCAGGCTCTTCCCTGGCGACCTTTGCTTCACCCCTCCGCTCCCCGACACGTGTGTCAAGCCTCCTCTGGCCAAGTCCACGTCATGGACAGCTGGGAAGGAAGTGACATTAGATTGGAACCCTGAGCCCCATTGGGGCTCAGCGAGCCTGGACTAGAGATTTTATTGCTTTAGCCTAATTTTTGCATTGAGTCGCAGACACCCAAATTCTGCTTTCATCTCCCCTCCTTTGAACAGTGATAGCCAAATAGAAACAGATGATCCACGTAAGTTATTATTAAAGATTAAAAAACAACAACAACAACCCAGTGCACACACGGGTATACAAATGACTCCACACCCAACCTAGCAAGCATAACACAGCTCACCAAGAAGCAGAAGGGACTGCAAGCAATCCTATAAGGAGGAAACCCCAGTCGCCACATGGGCCCCAAGCCCGGTTCTCCTCTGCCTGCCAGAACACATACCAGGAATGGTGGTGTCTTTCCCTACGTTGTCACGTTGTTTTACAAATGCAGACCAGCCTCCAGCCACCGCTCTCTTTCCTCTAGGAAGTAAAAATCCCAGGAAGCTTCTTCCCCTTGGAAGGCCACCCCCAAGCCCCCTGCACCCCTACTCCCCCACCCCAGGCCTTCCAGAGACTTGACACTTGCCTTTTGCTTCTCCTCCAGCTCTGGGCAGAATGACTTGCACAGGATCTCTTCCAGACGCTCCCATGGGTTCTCACACCCACCTCTGTGAGCAAAACGAGGGGGGGGGGGGCGCGTCTACACTGACACCAACACAGTTGTAGGGCTTTCATTTCATTTCATCGACTTCCCTCTGCAGCTCGTCTGTCTCCCCCATGTCTGCCGCCCGCAGCAGGAGATTAAAAGAACAGAGGAGATAGAAGCTCTTGTGAGAACCACGGGAATCTTGGCAGAACCTTTATAGGAACCATATGGCAGCAACTTTGCAATACAGGAAGCACTTCGAAGGGAGAAGATATTATTATTCCCAAGAAATTTTTCTCACCCGCACAAGGGAATTGAGCACTCCTGCCATGGGATGGGAGCAACATTTTCTGAAAAGACTGTACGGATATAGGTTGTATCTAACCTTAACGTAGCTCAGTCACAGTAGGTCATCGTTAATAACCCACAACGTGTTTTCCTAATCCCCCCAAAAAGAAGACAATATGCGGTATTTCCGATATTCCCTAGCTCTTCAAACCTGCTTAGACCGCATTTTACTCATCTGTGTAATGAAGAGATTGAACGAGACGAATGGTTTTTAATTTGTTCCCCTTGGTTGTAGACTCCTTTTTTCAATCAAAATCATATTCAGAGTAAGAACCCCAGTACACAAGACAGGATAATGACAGAGCCCATCGGATGCAGCAAGGGTGGAAGGCCTGGGTCCGCTTTTTTAGCCTCCTCCTGACTTTGTTCTTCTTTCCTTCCCTTTTCTTTCTTGCTTTTATTTTTTAAAGAATCTTCCCCAGATTATCACTCTTGGTTCACTTTAAACCATTGGAACAAAGAGAGACACCCATCCCCTCCAGTTCTAGCAGCTCCAGACACGCTGTACTCTCTGGGTAAAGAATGACAAGCTGGGAGTGACATTGCCTCAGTGGGTCCGTGACTTCACAAGCAGCCCCGCAGTCCGGCGGGGCCATAGGCTTCTCCCCGAACAATTTCAATGGGTGGCACTTGTCTAACAACCAGGACCAGCGCTGCTAGAGGAGGTGTCCCAGGACGCTGCCTCCAGCCCAGGCAGCTGTGGGGTGCGTGTGAATGAGCCAGCCACAGAGGAGAGAGAAAAAAATTGGCTGAAGAAGGGCATCACCACCCCCAAACCACCTCCAATTTAGAGCTTCTAGAATGCTCCAGTGGGAATGCATCAGAACTCTCACACCACAGGGATGCCTGAATATGGTTTGAATTTTGAGAATATATTCAAACTTAAGTTCGCTCTTGCTGTACTATATAGGGTTTATTTCCTAGGTCATCTTGATTTCCTCCTCCCTCAGCTGTCTGGTCCTAAAGAAAAGAACTCTGCGGACACTTTAATGGAAATGCTCCTGAACCAAGGGAACCCAACATTACTCTCGGTCAGATGAAAGCATGATGGCAGCGGCCTATTGAGAAAAAATACGACAACATCCCTTAAATGTGGACACCATAGATACATATGTGCTCATTATTATTCCTTGAGAACCTGTTCTAGAACAAGTAGTAATAGAATTCTATTACTGGGCATAATAGAATAGAATAATAGAATTCTCTGGGCATTAGTTAGGATGCTTTTATGAAAAAACCATTCTAGGAAGAAATGCAGAAGTAGCCCATTTCACAGGAAACATGGAAGACCAGTTCCAGTCCTCCATGACCACTGTTAGATTTTTTGAGTAGTGTTGGTTTGCCTTTCAAGGTGTAGTTTTAGAAGCCATCACTTTTTCCTGGATGAAAAACCTTGCGTATTTTACTTAACCTCTCAGAATACCTCACCCGAAAATGTGATGATGATGACAATACCTATATACCAGTCTAAATCGACTTCACAAGAGTAGAAAGGAGCTTGACACTTGAGGAGTAGCCAATGAGCCTACCACCCAGGCTCTGGGACTGGTGGAGTCAGCATCAGACCAAGACATTCAGGATACCTAGCAAGCTAACAGTTCGGTGGTCTTTAATCAGGTATCGTTATATATTTTTTAATATCTGTTCAACAATATCTACTGGAGATGCTGAGGGCTGCGATGAGAAAGAACAACTTCTGTCTACCAAATTCCATCTCCCCTTTTTTCTTAGCAGTTTAGCACTTGCCAACCATTAATACTCAAGAATTTACCTTGGGTGTCTTAGCACCTTCCCTCCAAACCAGCTTCTCTGTGTTTTTCTTATAATATAGACAGTATTGTTCCCGAGAGGAGTTCCAGAAATGTCATTTTTCTCCATCTTTTCAAATTTCCAGGGATAGTTCAGACCCCAAGGATATTCTAGCGCTCTAAATTATTGACAATATAGGAAATGACCCAGCTGACCTGCCAGTTTAAGCTGAGTCTGGATGGGGCCTCCTCCCTGACAACTTCCCAGCTGAGCTGACCTTCCAATTTAATTTGATTCTGGGTGGGCTGTCCTAGCAGATCTGTCAAATAATATCAGACGGTGTGGCAACCAAAGTCTTTGGGGTTGAGACAAACAATAACAGTTAATAAATCATAAAGACAAAAGCAGGGTTGAAAGTGAAGAAGGATGTTCTTTGGAGCTGGGACTGAGTGACTAGAACCAAGCAGAAGCCGGTCAGGCATGAAGGAGGTGTGTCCTGGTGCCTGGTCTTGGGCAATGTTGGTAGATGACTGCACCGTGTTCTGACACTTAGCAGGGACTCCAAAGTGTATCATTGTGCTAGGGCGACTTAAAGGTCGAAGAAGACAGGCTCTAGAGTTGTCGTGAGAACTAAGGATGATCATGCATATAATGGCTCCTGCTATTAGTGAGCTGTGGCTCCGTAATTAATAAGCAAATGCTGTGATCACTACCCCTACTGCCCTAATTACCAGTGTCTCCCAACTACAATCTGCTCGACACTTTTAGTCCTCGCAGAGAATGCAATTAATACTAGAGAAAGACATTAATAGAGATCAGGAGATTGAGGTTCAGAGAAAGCTGAGTTCAAATTCCAACCCCGTTACACTTCAGCTGTATGAGCTTAATCAATTCATGTCACCTGGAACCTCGATTTTCTATTTTCCAAAATGGGGATGATACTAATGGCTTGAACGGATGCTGTGGGATTGAAGGCAGCTTTCATAAAGGGTCTGGCCCACAGTGGTAGTCAGTAAATAATATTCGTTAGTGGTATTATTTCCATTTATTAAGTTGAACCATCACTGTGGGGGTCTTTGAAGCAGAGGAATGATTTTTTCTCCACTTATACAAAAAAAAAAAAAAAAAGGACAATTCCACAGGGCACTCCTGCCAGAGGAGGAGGCCCTCAATGTAAACCCATTAACATAAGCATTTTCAATCTATTCAGATGATAGCAAGAAAACTCCAGGGTCAGCCCAAAGTAGCTTTAGTTTTTACTCTTGTGGTTGTCCTTTCTTAGCCCACGGAGGGAGGTGGGAAGGCTTAAATGTCCTGAGAGATTGATTAATGGGGTATTTTTAGAAGAAAAACTTTTTTCTTGACTTGAGATTTGGGGATTTTAAAGTTCTAAATTGACCATCGGTGTCTTCAAAGATTAGAGAAGAATATATGAACTTCCCAGATTGTGTGAAAAACTGTGGGAGTATTGCACGTCTGTAGAATGGTTACCAAAAAAAAAAAAAAAAAAATCAGCAAACACTCCCTCCTGAGCGAGACTGAGGGAAATGGGGGGGAAAGGGGGGTGTGGGGGGGAAACCGGGTGCAGTAAACACAGGGGGCCCGGGGGGGGGGGCGAGACGGGGGGGAGGAGCCTGCAAGCCGCTTTCGTCGCGGGGGGACCCGTGCGCTCTGCACAGGGGCTGACCAAGCGGGAGCCGAGGCGGGGAAAACTCGCACTCAAGCCCCAACCCCACAGCCTGGGCCACGCACAGACCCGGCCTCAGGGGGCGGAGGGGGCGCCCCGAGGGCGGCGGCGGCACAGACTGCAGACGTCGGCGGCGGGACCCAGTCGTGCCGGGCCTCTCCCCAGCCCCCCCGGCCTCCCCCCCCCCCCCGGCCTCTCCCGGCCTCTCCCCATCCTCTCCGCAGCCTCTCCCATCTCCCCATCCTCTCCCCGCCTCTCCCGGCCTCTCCCCATCCTCCCCATCCTCCCGGGCCTCTCCCCATCCTCTCCCCATCCTCTCCCGGGCCTCTCCCATCCTCTCCGGGCCTCCCCATCCTCTCCCCATCCTCTCCCGGGCCTCCCCATCCTCCCAGCCTCTGCGAACCTCTCCATCCTCTCCCCATCCTCTCCCCATCCTCTCCCGGGCCTCTCCCATCCTCTCCCGCCTCCCGGCCTCTCCCACCTCTCCCATCCTTTCCGGGCCTCTCCCCATCCTCTCCCCGGCCTCTCCCCATCCTCTCCCATCCTCTCCCGGGCCTCTCCCCATCCTCTCCCCAGCCTCTCCCGAACCTCTCTCCATCCTCTCCCCATCCTCTCCCGGACCTCTCCCCATCCTCTCCCCATCCTCTCCCAGCTCCCGGGCCTCTCCCCATCCTCTCCCCAGCCTCTCCCCAGCCTCTCCCCATCCTCTCCGGGCCTCCCAGCCTCCCCATCCTCCCCATCCTCCCCGGCCTCTCCTGGGCCTCTCCCCAGCCCGCCGCCAGCACCCAGAGCGACGACGTGGGCGCTGCAAGCAGCCCGAGCTGGGTCTGCAGGTGTTCGGTGAAACCGCGCACAGCCCACCGAGGTCCCAGGGCTGGCAGTGGGCCGACGGGGAGGGGGAACGAGCCTCCCAGCTGTGGGGGCCCGCAGGGCGCCGGGGTGCTGAGCGCTCAGCGCCTCCAAGAGGGGCCACCCCCGCCCCCCGCCGCCGCAGTCTGTTCTTTATTTATTATTTATTTATTTATTTATTTATTTATTTATTATTATTTATGATTATTCATTATGATA